TACTTTTTTGGTTCTTTGCTGATTGACTATTGAGCAATTCTTTACATTATTATTGTCTCACGGTGCCAAAACAATTAATCGAGCATTGGTGTAGACTAGATCCATTTGTGAGTTCAGGCTTCGTCTTTTTAGAGTGTTGGAGAATCGAGAAAGCGTGAGAGATAGAGAGAGCGAATATGAGAGAGAGTGAGTTATTAGAGGAGGAGGAGGAGGAGGATCGAGAGAGAGAGAGAGAGAGAGAGAGAGAGAAGGGGGTGGAGAGAGAGAGGGGGCAGAGACACAGAGATAGAGAGAGAGAGAGAGAGAGAGAGAGAGAGACAGAGAGAGAGAGAGACAGAGACAGAGAGAGAGATAGACACACACACACACACACACACACACACACACACACACACACACACACACACACACAAACAGACACACACACACCTAGACAGACAAACACACAGACAGAGGCAGAGAGATGTATGGTGCTTTTAGTAGAGGTTTTACTCTCACATCCAAACTACAAGACCGACTTCGCATTTGAACTGAAAATCCTCAGCTTTGTTCGAAGTGAGATATCTCTGGTCTTCCAAATCCTATCCAAAGATATGAAAGCAGCCTGTGCTTTTCCAATGCAGGACTTTATTTCAACAGCTGTTCCTCCCTCTCTGTCAATTATACTCCCAAGATAGCAGAAGGATTCGACGTTTTCTAGTGCCTTTCCTGCTATTGTGACCTGCTCCTTTCGTTGTGCGTCTGTCCTTAGGACCTTTGACTTTCCGGGGTGGATCCTCAATCCAACAGACTTCGATAGGCTGTTTAATACTGAAGTCTTTGCTTTCATCTGTTCCTGGGTGTGCGACAGAAGTGCCAAGTCGTCAGCAAAATCCAGAGCGTCCAACTGTGTCCTTGGTGTCCACTATATACCATATCTGGTCTCCCCCCCCCCCCCCCCCCCCATTTTGATCTTTGATAAATATAGCCAAATATGCAACATAAAATACTGTATCCTGCTAACTAGAAGTCCTGTTCTAACCTCTCTGTGATGAGCAGGGGGTAACTGTAACATTGTTCTTTAAATGAAATAAAAAGTACACACACGTTGCAGAGAGACAGAAAGGGTAGACCCACTCTCTAGTAGCCTTTAAAACCAAAACTTATATAATATTCTGTTTCAAAATGCTCGCTTTTAAGCACAAGTGGGCTATCCCGAAAAATGCTGTTTTGAGAAAATCGAAGACAAAGTTTTCGCCCCTTGTTCAGTTTCTTTAAAAAACAAGGAGAGTTTTCTCTTTCACCAAACAAATATACACAATAGTGAAACCAAACCTCTCCTATAGGTAGGGCAACGCCCACTTATGGTGTACGTCAAGATTTCTGGAAGCCCCCGAAATCTGGGTTAGCCCGCTTGTCCTTAAAAGTGACCAAATATAATAATATGAACCACCGAACAGAAAGAGCTGGGACATAATCTTCAAAAATACCAGTAAATGGAAACAGGAAAAAAAATCACACTGTATGTAGTTTTGGTAAATTTTTACTTTCACTCCCGCACACAGACGCACTGTTTCAGGGGTCAAACTGCCGTACTGTTTGCTGCAGATCACACATAAAGCCACCAAACTGTCGCAAATCAATTATTTTCAAGACAATTTCAAATCTAACTGTAAAATATCAAATTATGGGTAAAAACAGGGGGGGCATGCACCCCCCCCCCCAACCCCCTGTAACCCCCCAGATTTTCTTTTACCCCAGTAGGGCAGGCCCCCCTGGAACCCCCGATTGGTCCAAAGCATGTCTATCTCGGTTAAAAACAATCAAATATTTCAAAAACTATTAATTTGCGACGGAAATGAAGTTGATATTCGTGTTCTGCGCATAAATATTTAGTAGAAAATAGACATCTGGTAGCTGAGTGTGAGACGGGAGGGAAAGTTTAAAAAATATCGTACTTTTGATTCATAATAATAGTTCCACATCTTAAGACAACCTAGTTTCAGCAAGGAGATCTTAGATCTAGGGGCAGCCCGACCCGTTTTCCGTCATGCTCAAAAGTAGGACATGAAACCTGCTTTTAGTGGTCGCCTATTGCTTGACTTAAAGGCCCAACTGTTTAACATCGAAAGCGAACGCGGATCAGCTCACCTTTTCTGCGTTAACCTAGTTCTGGGCTGTTTGCTGTAGAAACGGGGGTAGTTTATTTTTTCCCCCCCCCCCCCCCTCCCCACCCTTCCCCCCTCCTCACGTTCTCGGATAAGAACCAAGAGAATTGGGACACAACAATCCCCAAAACTACTAATGAATGGAAAGAGAGAAGGTGAATAAAAATCACCCTGGTTGTACATTACATGTAATTAATTAATTCACTATTGTTCCATATCTCAACAAATAGACGAGATAAACGATAGTGGGTAGTGAGGTGAACGTGATTCGCTCTCGTTGTAATGAGAAGCCCGTCCGTTGATCTCAAAACTCATATTATTATTTTTTTTAGTTACATAATGTAAGAGTTAAGTTTTAGAATGAGTTTTACGGCACTTGCCAACATAATAAGGTCATATTATACAAGTGCCGAAGATTCGAGGCGTTACAAGAGACCAACATGCACAAAAAAGAAGGGGGGGGGGGGGG